ATTTTCTTGCAATGGGTTACTTGAAATTTATTTCAAGGAATTGCCTTTGGAACCCAGGGTTCTTTTGAATCCAATTTTAAAACCATTATTCCATGTAATTAGAAAAGTATAAAAGAACCAAAAAAATAAATAAATAAATAAAAGTTCTATGGTTAAACCATTTAAAAACAAAATTAATTCTCACTGCTCAAGGCCTAAAGGGGAAATCTAGAAAGTGGGCAGAGAAAATGGGTTGTCTCATTAGATTTTGTCCAGGACCTATTATTAGCAATTTAGTAGCTCACCCTTGAATTGGATTAGAGTGTTACCATGATTACTATATTTATAATGTTACAAGGGATTTATAATGTGTCATCTGGAGCTGAAGTTTCTCATGATTACTTTAGCCTAGAAGCAGTAATAACACTTAATCAAGCAAAATTTTCTATTTTTCTCATGACATTTAAAAATGTGTAGTTAAATCACATGTGATTCTTGTATGATGGATATATTTTATTATGTCCAATTTAGTAAATATTCAGAAAGACTGAAAGTTTAACACAAATGTATTCTGCACATCATTGGGACTTGGTTAGAAACAACTCGTGTCTTCTCTTCTACTTGTAAAAGGTATGTGGGCCTCAAGACACAGGCTTAGTTTCACATATATACATTCATTCAGAAAGGAATTTCTTCATGCTAACCACAACTTTTTTTTTCTAGACAAAGGGGAATAAAACTCATTTCTCATCTTTCAACCAATTATGTCTCTGTTTGCTGGGTGAATTTGCTTCTTGGGCCATTTGTTTCATCAAAACTTGGATCAAAATCTCCTTTAAGGGACCAGCCCGGTGATGCAGTGGTTAAGTTCGAGCACTCTACTTTGGAGGCTGGGGGTTTGCTGGTTCGAATCCTGGGCATGGACCTATGCACTGCTCATCATGCCATGCTGTGGCAGGCGCCCCACATATAAAACAAAGGAAGATGGGCATAGCTGTTAGCTCAGGGCCAGTCTTCCTCAAAAAAATATCTCTTTTAAAATAGGGAAGAAAAACGTTTAAGAAATAAGTAGAGGAGAGACAGCTCTCTTATCTGCTCTTTAGTCACAATCATCTTAACGAGGACTCCAATGTGCCAGCACCCTCCGTCTCTGTCTCCCTTCTCTTCTGCTCTTCTTACCCACTTCCCCCAAAGCATCCTCAGGCAGAGGGGAGGGCTGTGTGCCTCTGCCCTTTGTAGATGACATGTTTGCCACGGGGGTTCTGAGGTAGAAGTTAGCGGGTCGGTGAGCTTAGACTCTAAAAAAAGATTACGCCTTTACTTTCACTTACTTCTAACTAAAGTTTACCATTTATGAAGGTAGGCAACAAATCCTAAGTAGCGTTAGTACTATCCAGGATTTTTGTCTCCAATAGAAATGGTATATAATTGTTATATTATTTTCCCGATGTTGCAGACGTCTCTAAATATCATTTACACCCGTCACTACTTCAAAATTTGGTAGTTATTGGATCTACTGGCAGATCTAGTCACTCAATGCCTCAGTGAAGAAGCAAGTATGTTATTGGATCACAATGTGCTTTCTAAAATATTGTTGTAAAGACATTTTGATATGATTGGTTTACTCTTTAACTATGTATTTTACTTTACGTGCTCACAAACATTACTTTGAGAAGAGTTTCACAGGCCTCATGAGGCCGCTAACAGGGTCCATGGAACAAAAATAGTCAGGAACTCCTAAAGTAGTTATTTTCAACCTTATTAGACCTAACTTTCCCTTTTTAAAAAATTGGGCTGAAATTCACGTACCGTACAATTAGCCATTTTAGAGTGTACAATTCAGGGGTGTCTAGTGCAGTCACAATATTGTGAGCCACCATCTCTCTAGCTTCAAATATTTTCGTCATCCCAGAAGAACACCTCATGCCCTTTAAGTACTCACTCCCCATTCTTCCCTCCCCTCATCCCCTGACCACCACTCATCTTTTTTATGTCTCTATGGATTTGCCTATTCTGGATATATCATACAAAAGGACTCATACAACACAGGACCTTTTGTGTCTGGCATCTTTCATTTAGCGTAATGCTTTTGATGTCCGTCCAAGTTGTAGAATGCACCAGAACTTCATTTCTTTTTATGGCTGAATAATACTCCATTGAATATGCTACAATTTGTTTATCAAACTCAACAACAAAAAGACAAACCGCTTAATTAAATAATGGGCAATGGACTCAAATAGACATTTTTCCAAAGAAGATATACGAACGGCTAAAAACACAGGAAAAGAAGTTCAACTTCATTAGTCATTAAGGAAATACAAATAAAAACCACAATGAGATACCACTACACACCCAGTAGGATGGCTATCCTAATTAAAAAAAATAATAACAAGTATTGGCAAGGATGTGGAGAAACAGGAACCCTTGTACATTGCTGGTAGGAATGTAAAACGGCACAGTTATGTGGAAAACAGTTTGGTGGTTTCTCAAAAAGTCAAACATAGAATTGGCACATGACCCAGGAGGGATGAAAGCCTGTCTACACAGAAACTTACACGTGAATGTTTACTGTGGTATTATTTGTAATAGCCAAGGATGGAAACCATCCAAATGTCGATCAGTGGGTGAATGGGTGAACTAAACTTCCCGTTTAATAAGAAATCTTTTGTAACAGTGTCTTTACTCTCCTGAAATGAAACTGATCAATAACAAAAGCTATTACACTAATTTTCAAAAAATCAATATAGTGCCTATCACATAAGGAAGACATGAAAGAAATGTGAAATAAAATCATACATATTTCAACATGCAAGTGCTCAGGCACCTGCCCTCTTGACGGATGAAGTAATCATGTGTAGAAGCACCATGAATTAATCGCTGTAATGCAGACTGATTCAGTGTAAGGCACTAGAGATTCAAATACCATAAGCATATTGAAACAATGCAAAAAGTATTTTGTGTTATATACAAAATGGCATTAGTTTTTAGGCTGAGATAATTTAAAAAAAACCCAGATTTTCTATGTACACAAATGTCTGATGGGACACTTGAGAGCAATGGAGGACACAGGACACTTTCTTGTGTAGGGCTGTCTCAAGCGTCGTAGGACGCACAGCATCCCTGGGCCCCACACACTAAACGGCAGTAACGCTCCTCCATCATTGTGACATCAGGAAAAACCCCGAGAATTTCCAACAGGCCTCCTTGGGGGCTGTACTGCCCCTTTGAGAACATGCGACCCCAAGTTCTCTCCCGGCATCTTGAAACTCTGACGACTCACATTTTATCCTTAAAATTAAATGCGTCTGTATTCTATGATTCAGTATAAATGTGTCAGTTAAACATACACGTAACTTTTGTGTGTCTGAACTGCCTGGAGGCCCCTCTCAGTGTACCACATCTTAATAAAACACAAGTCTAACTCCAAAAGCATTAATGAGTGACATAGATGTCCCATAACCTTCAGAGGAAGCCTTAGGAAAGAGTTACATTTCACCACATATGGCAAAACTTCCTTAAAATACAATTTAAATGTCTCTGCTCTTTTCACAAAGTTCCTCTCTCTCCCCAGATGCCTATTTTCAGCTTTTCTAGCCAGGCCGGCTTCAGATCTTTCCACAATTACACAGTAAATCAGGTCACCCGCGTCCTGGTCCCTCCCTGCAGGGGGCCTCGGACTCTTGAAGGAGCTATCTTGACATTTGTCCTTTGTCACTTTATGGTAGAACAAGGCCTTTTGGCACCTGGGAGGCCTGCAGGCACAGACCTACAGGAGCGCAGGGGCCCTGGGTCTGCACTTTGCAGCCCTGCCCCCGCCCCGCCAGTCCTCCCTGCTTCTGATTGTGCCAGCTGTGGTGTGTTGACACCCCGCAGGGCCGTTCCCCAAGTAGCTGCTTAAAGTTGCTTTAAAACAAATGGATTGTTCTCAGAGACTCTTCTGAGGTTAAAAGTTAGGAAGAAACATTAAAGCAATGTCACTTCCGAAAATGAAGCAAAATTCACAGTTTGCTGTTAGGCATCTAAGGGCTGGGCCGCCAGGACTGAGTGGAGGAATCCCACCGCGTGCTCTGTCAGGCGCTAGCGGCGTCAGGGCCACCGGAAATCTCTCTCCACGTGGACCAAATATATAACATACCTTCTTCATTCACTAGTATCTGAGTTGAACAATCCTTTGAAGAATTTTCAGGGAAACACGCTGCTGAATTATCAGACAGGTAGGGATCTGGCAGATATACATGAGATCTGTGAAATACGAAGAGAAAAACGATGACCGGTGACCTATCACTTCATCCAGGAACTCGTCCTTTCTATCTTAAGAAGCCTTCAAGGTGGGAGCTAAAATTAGTTGCTATTTAATAGCTGTACAAGGAAAAAAGAATTTTTATATTCCATATTAGGTCTTCAATAATTCTTCAAAAAAGGACCTCTGAGAATTTAAGCTTTTCCATTAAGTTAGTGGAGTTGCATAAAATTTTATAAAATAAAAATGAGATAGGACATTTGCTTAAAAATAAAATGATACAGGGGACTATCCCCATGGCCTAGTGGTTAAGTTTGGTGTGTTCTGCGTCAGCAACCTGGGTTTGTGGGTTCAGAGCACGGCATGGACCTATACCACTCATCAGCCATGCTGTGGCAGGCAACTCACACAGAAAGTGGAGGAAGATGGGCACAGATGTTAGCTCAGGGCTAATCTTCCTCAGCAAAAAGAAAAAAAAGACAAAATATTCTCAATCATAATAAAGAAGAGTACACTAGAATCTCTGAAAGTGTGAAACTGTCCATGGAATGCCCACAGGGGAACTTGATTCTGCATAACATGAATTGGTTAATGATTTTGCATACGAGGCTACAGAAGTGCAGGGTAGGTCCGGGCTGAAGCAGGAGCAGTTCCAGCGAAGCACGAATGCCTGTTATGAATGCAGCATCGAAGGGACTAGTGGCACTTTCACAGGCACTACACATCAGGAAGTTAAAATGAAACATGATTTTCAGTAGATGATAAAGGAAAATACAGTTAATAACCAGAGAAAAGGAATGATATATTTTTCTAAATTTAAATTACCACATTAGGTATTGTTTGAAAAGATCTTGAGGTGTTAAGTCTCTTTGAATCATTTTAATTTTATCAACTTTATTTTTTTAGAGCAGTTTTAGGTTCACAGCAAAACTGAGCAGAAGGTGCAGAGGCTTTCCTTACACCCCGTACCCCACGTGTGCACAGTCTCCCCACGATCAACAGCCCTCGTCAGGGTGTACGTTCGTCACAATCGAACCTGTATCGACACATCATTATCACATGAATTCCTTAGTTTACACAGGGGTTCACACTTGGTGTTGTACACTCTGTTGGTCTGGACAAATGTATACTGACACGTCTCCATCACGTGGCCTCCTGCAGAGAAGTTCTGCGCTCTGTCTGTTCATCCCTCCCCCGCCTCCAACCCCTGACAGCCACCGATCGTTTTACTTTCTCCATAGTTTTGCCTTTTCCAGAATGTTGTGGAGTTGGAATCACGTAGTATTCAGCCTTTTCAGATTGGCTTCTCTCGCCTAGTAATATGCATTTAAAGTTTCTGCATGTCTTTTCACGGCTTGACAGCGCATTTCCTTTTTAGCCCTGAACAGTCTTCCATTGTCTGGAGGGACCACAGTTTATCTACCTATTCACCCACTGAACACGTCGGCTGCTTCCCAGTTTGGACAATTATGAATAAGGCTTCTATAAATGTCGATGTGCAGGTTTTCGCTTGGACGAAAAGTTTTCAGTTCATTTTGGTGAATACCAAGGAGTGCAATTGCTGGCTCGTGTGCTAAGAGTATGTTCAGTCTTGTAAGAAACTGCCAAACTGTCTTCCAGAGCGGCGGCAGCATTTCCCATTCGCACCAGCAGTGAGTGAGCGCTCCTGCTGCCCCACATCCTCGAAGCGTTTGGTGCTGTCAGTGCTCTGGATGTTAGCCGTTCTAATAGATGTAGAGTGGCATCTCGTTGTTTTAATGTGAATTTCCCTATGACATAGGATGTTGAGCATCTTTTCACGTGCTTGTCTGCCATCTATACATCTTCTTTGGTCAGGTATCTGTTCAGATCTTTTCCCCATTGTTTAATTGGGTTGTTTGTTTTCTTATTGTTGAGTTTTTAGAGGTCTTTGTATATTTTGGATACCAGTCTTTTGTTAGATATGTCTTTGGTAAAGGTTTTCTGCCAGTGTGCTTAAAATTTCAACTAAAATTCTCTCTTAATATCATCTTAGTTGGTTTTTAAAGTTGAACTTATTACATATTTTTTCTCACTACTACAAGTAACTTCTTACTTTAAATACTTCATAAGTAACAGTTCATATAATATCTTCACAGTATTTTTGCATGAAATTGTATAGGTAGTAAAGGGGGCCTTCAGTTAGGACTTCTCCTAAGTTATTTTCCTAGGCAAGAAGAAAAAAATTAAGATTAGAATTAAGTTCAGCTGGGAGAACCAGAAAACAAAAACAAAAACAGAATATTAGTGGCTTAAATAGGACAGGTGTTCATCTCTCTCATGTGAAAGTCCAAAGGCTTGTGTTCTAGCTCTACGGCTGCTCTGCTCCACAAGGCCTCTGGGGTGCACGCTTCTTCCTGCTCGCAGCCCCGCTCAGCCTTGTCTTCACGGGCAAGGTGGGTCCAAGTGCCAGGCAGCAGAATGCAGGGAACAACGTGGAGGGAGAGGCAGAGAGTAAGCCAACTGCCTCCCTTCCCCCCAGCTTTATTGAGATATCATTGACATGTAACATTGTGTAAGTTGAAGTTGCACAATATGATGATTTGATACATGTATATGTTGTGAAATGATTACAATAAAATGTCCTTCAACTGACATAATTACCTTTCGCGGCCGTGTGTGTAGGGAGAACATTTAAGATCTACTCTCCCAACAAACTTCAAGTATACAGTAGAGTATCGTTAACTATAGTCACCATGCTGTACGTCCTCAGAATTTATTCATCTTAAAACTGTAAGTCTGTACCCTTTGACCAACATCTCCCCATTTCCCCCACACCCCACCCCCTGGCAACCACCATTCTATTCTGTTTCAATGAGTTTGGTTTTTTAAAAAATTTTTAATATTCCAAGTATAAGTGAGATCATACAGTATTTGTCTTTCTCTGACTTATTTCACTTAGCATAATAACCTCAAGTTCCATCCATATTGTCGCAAATGGCAGGATTTCCTTCTTTCTCATGGCTAAGTAATATTCCATTGTATATATACCACATCTTCTTAAGGAATGTTCCTAGATTTTGTCCCATTGGTGGACTTTACTTACATGGCCACACCTATTGCAAGGGAGGCTGGCAAGTGTAGTTTGTATTCAGGGCAGCCCAAAATTCGTTTGCTATAAGAGAAGAGGAGTATTGATACTGGGGGACAACTTCAGGCTCTGTCACCGACAACGTACTCAATCTCTTGCAGTCTTTTTCACTATTTGCTCTTTCCTTCTTTTACCCATTTTTAAATTAGGTTGTTTGTTTTCTTACTTTTGATTTTTAAGATTTCTTTGTATGTTTTGATAACAGTTCTTTATCAGATATATCTTTTGCAGATATTTTCTCCCAGTCTGTGGCTTGTCTTATTCTCTTGAGGTATCATTGATTTTACTAAGAAAAATAAATTCACTACAGCATTGAATTTAATATAGTATAGTGTAATATAATATTTTAAGATCTAAAGTTAGCAGACAAAGCTCCTGTTGTTTTGTTGTATTGTGATAATAACTTTGTTTCTCAATAGAATAATAGTATTTAAATGAGAAATGACAGAATTTTTACATGTATTTAGAAAGAAAAAATGTGGCTGACAAATAGTGGATGAACATGAACTCTAAGTAACATTTATAAATATTTTTGGAACATTTATTTGATAATATGATGGATATTTTAAATGTTTGACAACATGAGCATATTTTTAAAGTTGCCCCTTTGGATAAAGTATTCAAAAGGCCAGTGAAATATCACAGTCTGTGTGTCTCTAAACAGATAAATGAGAAAATGTTATAAGTTGTTTTAAAATTCTCATTGCTTTTATTGAATACTGCTTTATATCACAGCCCTGCCCCCAATGTTAGCTATTGGTTAGCAAGCATGAGCAATGGCAATTAGCAATTTTTAAAATTTGCTTTTTTATCATTTTGTAGGTAAGGATAATAATTCATTTTAGAGACATATTCTGCTTTTATAAAAGTTAACACACAAATGACTACTCCACAATTTTAAAATTCTTTTATTCCCTGTTAGGATAATCCAGCCTTTCGGAAAACGACAACTATAACCGTGGTAGATTTTGTGAGATGCTTGCCAATGCTAACCGCAGAAGCAGAACCAGCACCCTGGCTATCTGATGCTGCTCCAGCTCCAGCTCCCGGCTCCACTGCAGGTTCCCAGTTGTGGTCGCTGGACGTGCGGCTCTAATGAAGGACCTTTTGCTTCAGCCATCAGCCTCTCCAGGGGTGGCCTTAGCTGCTTTGCCCATCATGCCCCCCTGCAGGGACCCCACATCCAATCACTGGGCTTATAAAGGCCTGGCAATTTTGGCCCTACACTGGACAACTGTAACTGGCCATCCAAGCCACCACTGTTGGCAGAGACATTTTAGGATCTGTAAAGGAAGTAGAGAGTCCACGTGGTCAGCGACAACGCCTCCTAGCGACCCTTTCTGGAACTGGTGTAGACCCGTCTTCTAATTTTAACTACCATGGATAGCGGGAGATGCTGAAAGAACCAGGTGCCAGAGAGGAAGAATGTGGAGCCTGTCCACAACTGCAGTAGAAATATGTAGAGTTCTCATAGACCTTTCCAAAAGAATTGCACTACAGGGAAAGAGAACAACATCTGTGGCAGACCACTGATTGTTCTCCAATATTTATTTCTCCCCTCTTGTGTAGTAGCACGGCTCCTATTTTTCATCTGGGCCCGTGACCACCCAGAGCAAGAAGTTACCTAGTTTAGACCAGAATGAGATCTGTACTCGTGACTTAATTACTATAAATTAGCTAACAAAATCTGCATAAAGATGTTTGTCTTATCTTGTAAGAGCCAGGATTTTAAGTTAGAATTATATTCTTATAATTATTATATTGTATACCAATTTTTATTACAGTATGTTGAGATTATTATTTTAAAAATGCCTTCTCTTTTAACTAAAACCATTTTACTCAGTTTTTGATATGATCATTAGGCATTTTTTTTTGCCTCTTTCTGTAAAATTGCTACTCCTCTTGCTTTCAGTTTATAGACGGGATCACTGAAATACTTAATTGTCTTTAAAAGTTTTAACTTGTAATTAAAAAAATCTTATTCCCTGCTCTCTTCTGGATTCTTCACTCCGATTTGCTGTGAGCAGTGATCTTCCAACCTGACAGCAGGTCGTCAGTGATGGGCCTGAGAAGGTGGAGGAAGTCCATTTGGGGAGATGAGGAAAGCCTAGGAAGAAGTGGAGACAGTGCCCATGGACCACTGCTTGCACGAGTTTTCTGGAAAGTCGATAACGAGAATTTCATACGCCGATGAGAGAGGTTAGGTAGAGAGGCAGTTCCCGGCGCAATTTAACTCAACGACAAATGAGCCATCGTCATATTCAGGCCTGGTGCCGCGACCGACAAGGATGCTGAGCTGAAGTTCCCGGCACGTTAACAACCCACGGGTTGGTCAGGGTGACGTGGGCAAGATGACAGTCAGAAACACACAGGGACGGTACCATGTGCCACTGCAGCGTGAACACGTAAGAGCAAGAAGGGACACGTGCGCCCTGCTTGGCTGCACAGGACAGGGCTTCGTGGAGGACTGGCATTCGAGGAGGTCACTTACCGTGTCTTGCTGTACGTCAGGTCAAGGTCATGTCTTCGCAAGGAGGCCTGATGGGTACGCCACGGGGACAGATGCCGTAGTGTGCGCGCGCCCGCCCAGTGTCCACGTGGGACGGGATCTAGCGCAGAGGCGCACGGAGCGGGGACCGTCAGGGCCCCATCCTTACCGCGAACGTCCCGTCCGGACAGCGGGCGCAGGCGGGGCCGTGAGGGACGCAGGCGCGGGTGCGCACGTGCGCGGCGGCGGGCTCGCGGGCGGCGCCTCGTCCTGCGGGTCCCGGCGCGGTGGCGGGCCGCCTCGGGGCTCGGGGCGGGGTGTGAGCAAGCGCCTCGGACGGCAGGGGGCGCAGGCGGGCCGGCTCCTCGGGCGCGCAGACTCCCGGACGGCGGCTCCTCGGGGCGGCGGGCGCACCGGCCACTCCCCTCGCCGCCATGCGCGCGCTGCTGCGGCTGCTGCGGCCCCGGCGCCCCGCCGCCCGCCCCCCGGGCCCCGCGCTCCGGGCCCCGCGCCGCGCCATGGCCGGGTACGGCACGGAGGAGCGCGGCCGGCCCGGCGAGCCCGGCTACCGCCTCTTCTTCAGTGAGTACGGGGCTCCGTCCCCGCGTCCGTCCCTCTGTCCGTCCTTCCGTCCCCGGGCCCGCCCCTCCGCCGCGCGGTCCAGCCTCGGGAGCCCGCGAGGGGACGGCGGCTGAGTGCCGGGGCGCGGGGAGGGGGGCGCCGTGCCGTGTCGTGCGGGGCCGCCCTGGGCCTCCCGGGTCCCCTCGCCCGCCGCCCGGTCGGCTCCCTGGGATAAGGCCCGCCCCCTCCCCCGGTCACTGGGGCCGCCCTGCGTGGTGGGAAGGCCCAGCGGCCCGTCACCTTGGCCCCGCCCGCAGGTGACCTGCGCCCTGTGCCCTCTGCTTGGCGCCCCGAGACCCAGAACGTCCGCGGGTGCGCCTCCCCGCCGCCATCCTCCCGGCATCCTCCCTCCTCCGGGGACAGGCCCGCCCCCATCCTCCCGCCTCCATCCCCCGGGGACACCGGGCCAGTCCCCGTCTTCCCCGCCTCCTACCGGGGCCAGACCCGCCCCCATCCCCCCACGCCTCCATCCGCCGGGGACACGGGCCCGCCTGCATCCTCCCCGCCTCCTCCCTCCTCCTGGGGACAGACCCGCCCCCATCCTCTCGCGTCCATTCCCCGGGGACACGGGCACGCCCCCATTCTGCCGGGGACAGACCCGCCCTGCGCGGCCGCAGCGGCCCCCGGGTCCAGTCACCCCCCAGCCGCCCCGCCGGGCCCTCGAGGCGACCCGGTTTCCCGTCCGAGCGGCGGGGCTGCGGGAACCCGGGGAGGCGGCGGTGAGCCCGCCTCACAGGCCGGCCGGGTGGAGGCTACTGCCGTGCCCGCGGCCGCTGTGGACCTCTGTGCCTGCAGAGCGGCCACAGCAGGGTCCCGCCTGAGCTTGGGGTCCAGGGGGATTCGATGAGAGGGAAAACCGAGCTGCCTAACGTCTTGGGATTATAATGCAGCTGGTACTCACATTCCTATTTTCTTCAAAATTGGTTGCTTCGTGTCTAGACTACATGTTCTCTCATCCTTGTTTGGTCAGGACCGATCAGGTGGTGGGGAGCCCTGAACTGGAAGTCCCAAATTCCCAAATGGGTTGTGTTCCAAAAGGTTACCATGTGGTGATATTGGGAACAGTTTTCTGTAGAAACAGCCTTTCAAAGTGACAGCCAGGTTTTTAAGCTGATGAAAGCTTGTCTAACGCATATGTGGGGAAAGAATTCTAGATTTGCATAAGTACAGTGATTAATCACAGACAAAATAGTCGGTAGATACTAGGGGGTGTGCTGGATGCTGCTGGGCGGGGTACTGCCCTCAGGAGATTCGTAGCTTCTGCAGTAGTTAAGGGAAGTATAGAGGCACTGGAAACATTCTGCTTGGAGGCTGGTTGGGAGAGAGCAGTCCAAAGGAGCCTGGAGCATGTGGGGCGCGCCCGACCCCGCTGGCTCTGGAATGGGGAGTCCTTGCCCTCGCCCTGCAGAGCCCTGAACTCTGGCGCAGTGCTTCGCAGGTGGTTGCCGTGTCTCTTTCCCCCAGGCCCGTGTCTTTGGCTCTGAACTGCAGCAGCTGACCTGGCGGTGGCCTTCAAGACCTTCTCTGAATGACTAACGGATCTCCCCAGTCTCTGTTGGGGCAGTCCTCCGTTAGGGCATTTCTGGGGTCTGTTGGCCTCTTGCCCTGGTCTGTTTCTTCAGCTACAAGTATATTCCAAACTTGTGATTTTGCTGTGACTAGAATGCCACAAATAAAATACTTTTTCACTCAGTTGGGGTAAATGGCAGAAGAGAAGAAAAAAGGTTTTTTTGAGGTAAATGGGCAAGAATTGGGAGAAAGGGAAGTGTGCTTTGGGGAGCTGCCAGGCCATGAGATGGTCATTGGAAGGTGGGGCGGGTTCAGCAGTTGCTGAGATGAACACGAGATGGCATGCTTGGCCCAGGACTGTGGACCCCAACGCGGGGCGCGGGACCAGGGGCAAACGGGGAGCAAGGTGCTCTGAGTAACCGTGTCACTGTTGGATGTCTCTGGCTCTGGCAGTGTCTGTGCGGTCCTGGGGCGCACTTCTGGCTCACTGCAGAGAAGAACGTGCCTATGGGACTGCTTGGCCCAACTGTGTTACTCAGCGTTATTACAGTGGAATCGTTTCCAGATGCATCCCAAGTCTCTGAGAGGCGAGTGCAGTGGGAGGGGGACCATTTTTGAGCTCCTTTTCTGTAAACGGTTTCTCTTCACTGCCATTCAGAAGAGTCAGAATGATTCATGTAACACTTCTTTCCTGTTATTTGGTGTTGAAGGTTGTAGAAATAGTTAGTACTGGAGTGAGACCGGATGACGGAGGGAAAGAGCATCCTGGTGGAGTGCTCAGGCCTCCTCGGGGCGGCCCTGGCCCCGTTAGTGACTGTGTGTGGCCTTGAGGAGTCACTTAATCTCTGTACCTTGTTTGATGAAATCATTGAAAGAGGAGATTGGGCTGGATGACCCTTTTCCAGACTGTGCCTAGTCGAGCACAAGCATCCCATGGGTGTTGTCAGGTTTTCTTTAAACAAAGGGCTTCATGGTTTAAGAGATTAGCCGAACACTCCATTTTATCACCTTCTCAGAGAGTCACAATGTGCCTATTAAAGTTCTGGGAAATTCTGATGGAAAGTGACTTGTCCCACAGTTTTGAACCCCAGGGCCCCAGTTCTCAGAATATTTGTTAGCATCTTAGTGACCCTAGAGTTTCGTGAAGTTCAGTTTGGGAAGTGCTGGATGAGATGACTTCTGAAGATTCCAGAAGCAAGTGTGTCTTGGAAATTGTTCTAGATTAATTGTCAAGCGCTTAGGTTGTAAGTCTGGCTTGACTATCTTGGGTGTCACTTGACAGCCCTTAGCTCAGTTTTTCTGTCTGTAAAATGAGGACAGCAGTTATAATTCTATAGAATTACTGGGGCAGTTAAATGAGACCGTGTGTACAGGTTATCAGTAGATAATCTTTGGTAGCGTGGTAGGCATTTAATATATGTTCTTTTTCCCCTTTTACTTTAAGACCTGAGATCAAAAATTCTCATTGTTACGATCTGTGGAGGGCAACAGCAAGGGGATGTGGATAAAATTGAGTATTTTGAATATGTCCCAGTGAATAATTCCTGGTTCTCAGAGTTTTGATGGTTACTGCCCTGCAGTCTCTGAATTAATTGTGAAATCATAATGAAGTTAGACTTGTTTACGTGGGGCCACAAACAGCACTGCACGTCAGTGTTCCTTGGATAGCCTGCATGTTTTTGTTTGTTTTGTTTTGTTAGTAACTTGAAGGATCACTATTTTAGTTTTTTACACTTTTCGTAAAGGATGAGGAGAAGCTGTGCTTGTCGTAGTTTGGATTCTGTTGCTGTGGGGTGGGCGGCTGGTGATGACAGAGAAACTTAGAGACTGTGCTGTGGATGGTTCAGGTTGCTTTCATTTAGCATGAGAATGAGTCACCCAGTTCTTTAACAATGAACTGATCTGATCATTCACAGTAAGCATATGCTTATGTTGAAGTTACTACAGGTTTTCTAAGTACATCATTTGTGTAGCAGGTGGAATCTGCTGTTGAATATATCATACATTTGGACCTAATAAAATTTCCTGTGAATAATCCATAAAATACGTGTTCGAGTCTTAAATATATGAGTTCCTGCAACTTTTCTTTAGATTGGCTTGTATCGTAGAATTTGAGTTGATGCAACAGAAAGTAATGGTTATTGTGTGAACATAGAAAAGTTACTTACGTTTGTTTGATTTTCATCATAGCTAACGCTTCCAGTAGAATCTCTACGAATGGTTTTAGCAATGTAGCATGTAATCTAATAGTATGTTGGTACTTGGCATAACGTGTAGCTATTTGGCATATATACATATAATCAGATATGGTTTTCTCATTCCGTTAAATTCTCTCACCCAATAGTACAAGTAATAAACTTTCATCCCGATAGGACTTGCTGTTATGAGAGAAAAACATACAGTCAGCCCTCCGTATCCGCGGGTTCTGCATCCGAGGATTCAACCAACCCGGATCCTGTGTGTAGTGCTGTGTTTACCATCTGCCGTTGGTTGAATGTGAGGATGCGGAACCAGCAGACACAGAGGGCTGACTAAGGGACTTGAGCGTCCACGGCTTTCGGTATCCACGTGGAGTGGTGAGGGGGTCCTGGAACCAATCCCACGCAGGTATGAGGGACGATTGTGTAGATAACGTACAAAATGATGGAGTAAAGTCTCCTTTCAGTCCAGTTGAAGGGCGAGCTTTGACACTGTTTGGCCGTATCCAGTGTACATTGATGGGCCTGATAGAGTTCGTTAGGTTATATCCTGTTAAAGTGACAGTAAGTGAATTAAAAAGGACAATCCTAAAACAGCAGACAGGGAGCCATCAGAGCTAGACATTTTGGAATACTATAAAAGGAGAACGGAGGGAGTTGTGGTTATTGATGGAGCAGCATGCAGGAAGTCCCTGCTCTGGCCTGTGCTCAGGGGCTGTACCAGTTTAGGAAGAAGCTGAACCGCTTTTCAGGACCTCGGAGGGCTCACAGACATGTTGGTGTGGGATGTGGAGGCTGACGCAGGGGGTGAAGTCAGGTTTTGTTATGGGATCGCACACGTAGCTTCACCGTGCAGGCTGGGGCTGAGAGGTGGTTAGCGCCTTCTGTAGGAAATGAAG